AGGCTGAGGAGCTTTCACCCAGCCCCTAGAGCTTGGCACTTTGAATTTGGACTTAAAGCCTCTAAATGGTAAGATTAAACTCCTGTTTGTTAAGGCCATCCCATTTGTGGTATATTCCTGTCAGAGTTGCATCAGGTGACCAGAACAATCACTATGAGTTGGCACTGACTCAGTGATGCTGAGCAACAACAACTATGATAGAAATGGTGACTGAGTTACAAGAAGAGGTACATTAAACAGAAGAAAGAAGGAAAGGGCTGACTCATACTTTCACTTATTGTGGAATATTTACTGATGAACCATTGGTCTCCTACATCTTTCCTGATCCTCTCTTCTGAAATTGCTGTGATCTTTCACCAATTTATTCCTTCCAGAAGCTACCTACCACTGAGATAGATTCATGCCATCATCATATTCAGCAGCTCCATGTGTTCCATCTGCAGAAGTCACCTATGGAAAAAGACCCATCATTTCCTAGATAAAAGTTGGTCTAAAAGATACAGTTTTTCTTGATACATGGGAAAAAATACAAGCTGCTGAGGAATGGTCCCCACAAAGGTGCCAAATGAGTTTCGTGTAGTAATTCTCTGGAGTTTATTGTTGCCTCTGCTGTATTTCCCAAAGTGGTGATTCTAGACTAGGAAGAATTTGAAGCCATAAAGAAAGAAAGGGTTCTCTTATAGGGTAACCACTCTACCTCAACTCTTATTTAACTTGGATTTTGTAGAAGAAGGAAATTTGCCACAGAGACTCTCAGTCAAGGATTTCTTCCTCTATAAAGCCATATTTAATATATTCACCATACCCAGCATCACTACAACTATTAAAAAAAAGAAGGAAGGAAGGAGAGAGAGAAAAGGAAAGAAAGAGAGAAGTGCTTCGTGTTAAACTTTCCATCTTATTTGCAGTACTAAATACATGTTTTGACATTGTTATTGTCAGTTCCATAGTTGTGCCCAAGTGATTTTAACCAATGGTACTTCATCTGCACCATAAGTTTATAGTCTACCGAATCAGCAACAGTGGTAATTATCAGACTTTTTTTTTTTTTCTAAGAACAATGGGCAGGACAAAATATAATGTGTGGATTTGTTTCAGAAACAAGTGCAAAGGAGAGAGTGATCATTTGATTTCAGGTACAGATTGGTGACTCTCAAACTAGAATGTCTCTAAGTGGTGGTGTTTAACATAATAACGTTCAATTTATTAAATTAAAAAATATATATTCTATGTCATAAAGCACTTATATTAAGGTGTGATGTCACAAAATAAGCCCAAAGAATAAATTCTACATCATTTTATACTTAAACATCCAGTGCATTAATATAACAGAACGTAAATTTGGTCATTTTGCAAATATTTTCTAGAATCCTTGTATAATTATAAGTACCCACAGTTTTGTGTAATATTAATACAGTGGTGTTCGAACACATGCATTTAAGAAGTGAAATTCCCCATGGAAATTCACTTCATAAAATCAACACCCTGGAATGACCTACACTTTTCCAGATCCTCTATCCAAATCCTCAGCGGCTAAACTCATTCTGAAGGAATCTGCATGAAAAGGATTACAAAAGAAATGCAATATAAATTTTCAAAATAAGTGGTCAGTAATTTGAAATATAATTTTAAACATGGCTCATAGAGAAAGCCAGGTCTTTCATGAAGACGTCTCTATCTTACTGGCTGAGATTTTCATCAGTTCAAATGACTTAAGATATGAGGCCAAAGTACTCAGATGTGGTTGACAATAATGTAATACTTCCATTTATTAATATTCTGTCCAGCCTTTAAAGCATAGAGGCAGATTAAACTCTAAATTGTATGTATCGGAATTTAAATAGCAAGTGAAGATAGAGATGCTTGTGGTAGTAAATTTAAACAATAACAACAGCAACAACAAAAACTATGTCAGCTCATAGGATATAGGATGAGCATTCAAAAATGCAACGTTAATAATAAAAAATCACTGCCGTTGAGTTGGATCCAGTAATAGTTATATGATAATTAGGAAATTTCATGTCTTGAAAATAAAGACACTGGCACATTCAGAGGAATGATTTAGAAATGTCAAAGAAGCCAGAATAGAAATGAGGACAGAAAGAGTTAATGTGGTTGAATCAACTTAAATTCTCTCTTTGTAGTGAAATCATCTCAAAACTTGTTGAACTGTCTTCCTTTGGCATTATAGAAATACTTACCTACTTGTTAGGGTTGAGTGAAATAAGTTAATTAATATTATCTTAAGGTCTCAAAGGCAAAATATATATGTAATTTGGCTCCTAAGGGGTTAAGAAAACCATATTTTTCCTCAATAAAAGCAACCAGAATTCAGCTCAACTTAAATGTAAATGTGGCTTAGGAGTGACATAGTAATACCACTTGGCATTTCTTAAGTTAGCTTGCTCTTTCACTGGATAAAAATAAAGAAAAGAAAGCATCTAAAGCAGAACCACCCTATTACAGCCCAAATTTGCCCATGAAAGCAGAAATTTTCTGGCCTACATCTATGCGTTTTTTCCACTTTCCATAGCCTCCCACACTATAATGATTTATGCATGGAATTCAGTGACTTTATATTTTCTTTTGAGTGCAAAAAGTGAATGCCAACATGGAAAATCTGAATCCTGACCATTTTCAAAGATGGTCACAGACCTTTGAGGGAACCAAATACTATCCAGAAAGATATTTGGTCAGGGTGGGGTACCAAAATTCTAGTACGTTCCTTAACTCCCCAGTCTTTACAGGGATGGAAATATTTACCTTTTGGGCATATAGCTTGGAAGTCCTTTTCAAAAGATTGAAGTGCCCCCAAACCAGCACAGCAGTTAATCTTGTTCATTGCTGAAATCTACAACCCAATCCATGTTATGTGCTGACAGTTTCTGTGTGGAGTAAATACGAAGTTGTCTGCTTATTGAATGGGATTTTTCTTTTACAGCTCAGTAAATTGGTTATATTATGGGACACTATTTGGATTAGTCGTTTTTATAAGGTTGAGTTTATATTGGTACAATTTGTTTCCTTCAACTAAGGGATTAAAGTAATTTAAGACAATGTGGACAGATACATGAAATTTGTTTATCATTCTGACTTTATACATAGTTTTCTTGTTTACTTAATTTTTTTATGGGTTAATTCTAACTGAAGTATACAGATTAAAGTAAAAGAAACCATTGAGATTAAGTCTCAAATTTCTGAAGAATAGACCCAATTCTCTTATCATGCTTGCATTTTCTTTTTGGTTAGCCTGAATTCCTGCCTGAAACAGTTAGAGTTTATACATATGAAAAAAAAAAAAAAACAAACCAAACTCACTACTGTCGAGTTAACTCTGACTCATACAGACCCCTCCTTGGGTTTTTGAGGCAGTATCTCTACAGAAGTACATTGCCCAGTCTTCCTTCAGGGGAGTGGCTGGTGGGTTTGAACTTCTAGCCTTCAGGTTAGCAGTCAAATGCCTTAGGCACTACACCTAAAGAAATAATATTGTGAGGTGAGGGAGATGTGCAGAGGCAGAATCTCATAGCAAATGACGTTTGTGGGCCTAGAACATGTTTCTCAGAACCAGGACTTATTTTGAATCCTGGCTCACATCCTTGGGCAAATTATTCATTTTTCTAAGTTTCAACAGTTTACAGATAATTAGAGGAACTACCTCCTAGAGTGTTAGGATTAAATGAGATAGTCTATGTAAAGTATTTTTATACTGTAATCTTCCTGACACAGCAGTAATGCCTCTGTAAATACATGGTAGCTAGTAGTTGTCTTTGTGTGCCATAGAATCTATCCCAACTCCTCAAAGCTACCACCTGATACGGCAGAGTAGAACTGTCTCATAGGGTCTTCTAGGCTGTAATCTTTATGGGAGCAGATTTCCAGACCTTTCTTCTGTGGAACCACTGTATGGGTTTGAACTGCTGACCTTTCAGTTAACAACCGAGCATTTAACTATTGTGCTGCCAGGACTCCTTAGCTGATTGTAATCATAGTAATAGCAAGTACAAATATATTTATCCTAAGGCATTGATACGTGATATCATTTCATGTCCATGAATTATGTGCTAATATGACCTAAACTGGATTGTTCCTTTGTTAGTCACTCCCTGAAGTAAATACATTCTGATAGCTTAAGATCTGTAATAGTTCTTTCACACATCCCTGCATTATACTTGCTGCCTCTTAGCTAGAGTTTTGCATGAACAGTTCCCTGGTGGCCTTTGTTGCAATTCAAACCAAACAGAGAATAGATTTCTTTAATGACCTGTGTTAAGAAAGTCAGGAAAACATGCAATCTAAAGCAAAAAGTTTTTTTCTAGTGATTTTTATTAAGTATTGCAATACAAATATTTTCTGAATGAACTTTTGAATGCTTAGTATTTATATCTTTATCCATTAATAAACCGATCCAACTGCATTTAAATGTGTTATCTATGATTTTTGAGCAGAAATATGAAATAAAACTGTTCAACTAATTTTACACTGCTTCTTAAAAAGGAACTTTGAAAAGCATAGTGAACTTTTGCACATTCAAAAATTTCTCTTGTAAAACAACTGTATGATAAGAATTATACAAGAGAAGTAGTGAGACTTTCAGATAATATTTGGAAGTCAATATTCTGACTGTCTTTCATGAGAAAAAAATTGATATCCATAAATGTCATAGAACTAGTGTACATTTTATTTATTATTTCTAATTATTATAAATAATATTATTTACTATTTTTAATTATTATTATATTTTAAGTTCGCTTCTTATGGAAAGAAGGCAATGATACATGGCTCTGTTTATATAAACACTATTAAAGCTACTAAACAGAAACTTTATCAAGTTTCTTACCAAAACTTTCATAAAAAAGATTAAATTTTCTCTTATTCCAAACTATATTTTGACTCTTTAGAAATTTATCAATAACTGTATATTTTTAAATTGTTTAATAGGTGGTAAAATGACAAAACTCACTCTCTTCCTGGATCAGTGAATTTGAAGTCGTCTTTCATCAAGTTCCATCTCATGTCACCTCATATGGAATGTATCCCTCTGTCTGTTGTTAAACTACGATGACATGTCTGTAGCCATAAGAAAGAGAAGCTGGGAAGAACATGTGACCCAACGGATGGGGCTGCCATTTAATTCTGATGATTATAACACAGCATGTCATCATGGACTAGCAGCTGACAGCTTGCAGGAAAGTATGGAAAAAGATGCAACTCTACATGTGGACCGCAAAGAGAAGTGTGTGTCTTTACCAGACTGCTGTCATGGGTCAGAGATGAGAGATTTTCCAGGGAGACCAATGGGTCATGTTTCAAAGGAGGTGGATGAAAATGACAGTCATGAAGGTGAAGACCAGTTTCTCTCTCTGGAGGCCAGCACAGAAACATTAGTGCATGTTTCTGATGAAGATGCAGATTCTGATTTATATCTTACAGATGATAAACAGATCCTATCTACTCAAGATCATAAAACATCTGACCAACATAGTGTCAAAGGAGCAGGCTCCTTAGTTAAGACCTTGCCCATCATACAGAGTAACCAAGATTCATGTAGTTCCTGGATAATGGTAGGTGAACCCGAGTCAGTGCCAGGAGAAGAAGGAAGGGAGAGAAAAGTTGTTGACACAATGAGGAAAAGCCTGGAGCTTTGTAATGACATAAGCTTATGTGAAATAAAAGATGCACCCCAAGTAAACACATGCAATTCTTTGAATGTGAAAGAGATTGTGCCTGAGAAGCAATTGCTTAATTCTGCAGTAATAGCTCAGCAACGAAGGAAGTCTGACTTTCCCAAAGATGGACATGAAAGAAACACCTGCAGCGTACACAACGAGTACTCTTCAGCTCCTTGCACAGACAGAGGACTGCCATTATCAAAAGCAGATTCTGGAAGCTGCCTTCTACAGCCCTCTTCCTGCCCCAGTGGAATGTCGGCTGAAAATGGCCTGGAGGAGAGTGGTTTCTCAGAACATCAAAACAAAAGTCTTCTAAAGGTCAACGCAGGAGATGGCATTCAGTGTTTACACTTAAAGGAGACTCTGGCCACCCAGGAACCTGCAGATAATCAAGTCAGACTTCGCAAAAGAAAGGTAAGACATGTACAACTTATCTGATGGTTGAAATTTTGTAAATATCCTTGTTTTTATAATTTACTATTTTGATGGAATTAAAGAGATATTTAGATGCTACTTTTTCCCTGTAGTGCCACTGCATAACTCAAAGAACATCATCTTTGGTGAAATATAAAAATTAAAATGTAATAATCTACCCATTTCACTAATAATATGTATCATGTTTATGAACAGTCTATTCTGGTACTATATTTGAAGATAGAATTGGTATCATTTTGTTTAGTTGGAAATAAATAGCCCCCAGATTGTGCATAATTGTGTAGCTCTAGGCGTACATGAAGAGTGATCCCTAATTTTTAGAAAGAGCATCATGGCATTTTTTATTATGTCATTTATTTGGACCTACTTTTTTCTTTCAAAAAATATATTTTCTCATCATAAACAAACTATAAGTTGCATGTTAAAAGCAATCCCTTTACATATACGAAGGCAATAATACCCTCTTACCAAATTTACTGATCTTGTTTTAAATGTGATACTGTGATACCTTCAACATCAATAGATGTAAATAAATTATTTTGTTTCATTTATTGATCTCTGTTTCATGATGCAGCTTGTCTCTTGACCAAAAAGGTAACTGAAATTCTGTTTTTATCCAAGGCTCCTTTGAATAATACTATGAATAATACTATAGCTGCCATGCTTCCCAGTGAGTATAGCAAGGATTGTGTTGTAGCTACATGAAATGTGGTTTAATTAGTGTACCTTTGACCAAAACTTGTTTTTAATAGTTCCCCCAAATCCTTGTGACAATGTTGTGTTCCACAGTTATGAAGTGAACCCAAATGCAGTCCTCCTATAAACCCCTATTGCTACGATCACTGAAGAAACCCTACAGATTAGACACTTTCCTGTAGTATTAAAATGTATTTCCTAGGCCCTATCTTGATATAATACATAATTATGCATAATTGATATGTAATTATAATTCTCCTAAACACAAAATTAAATCTCTCTTCTAGTTCTATTGAGGCAATGACAAAAATAAATAAATAAATAAAAAATCTCCAACTCTCTTTTGCCTGTGGTGAAGAAATCTGTTTTCTATAAACTGTGGTTTTGCTAACAAACTAGATCAGTAATGTGTCATGAGTTAGTTTAAGTGAAATCAAAGATTTTACAGCAAGAATCAATGTGCTCTAACTATATGCCAACAGAGTGTTCTGTGCTTCTGGCAAACTCCTCCTTCCTTATATGAGTTGTATTAAAATGTTAATGCTCCATAAAGTTGTTATGATTGGACTGTTTAGGTTACTTTTTCAGATATTGCCATATATTCTATCAAATCTGTTGGAGAGAATGCAATAATGACATAAGAAAGTATTAACCGACCTGTGACATAGCTTCCCTAAAATAAGTCAAAATCTGAACAACTGCTGACAAAAACATTAAACATTCCAGAAACATATGCTCACCACTTGGACATTTATATCAATACTAAAGAATGCTGGAAAGAATTTAGTCTTGGACTTGTCATATAGCATGATTGCGTTTTGAGAGATGTAATTGTATCTCATTTACAAGTCTAACTTAAATATTCTGCTTTAAGAATTTTGTCATTCTAAAATGTGGTGGCATTGTCTGGTGGATTATTTGCTTTGACTCTATAACTCATTTGGAATGCCCTGTACTTAGCAAATTAAATTCATTTTAGGTTTGAAATTTACTCTAGAAATATATGATGGAAAGTCTTTAGAAGTAAAACATGAAGGTGTTTTATTGTTTTAATGATATGGAATGACAGTCCTAAAAATACTTTCAAAATGGAAATTAGCCATTTTAGTACTCTACCAAAATAAATAACACCAATTCATAAAAATACATGTGCAAACAGATGCTCATCACTTTATGTTACCATAAGAAAAGGAAACAACCTAACTGTCCATCAATAAAGAATTTGCTTTATTATCGTTTAGTCATATTATGGAATACTATGTAACCATTAAAAAGATGAAATGAAATACATGTGCTCAGACTGTGAAAAATGTTCATGACAGTGTTCTCTGGGGGAAGAAAGTGGCAGGCCAATATGTACAGCATGTCACAACCTTATGTAACAAAGCATTTAGATAGATACCTAGTTGTCTATCTACATAGATAGATAGATTGATTGATTGATAGATGGTAGATACAAATATAGTATATACAGGATATAAACATCTTTATATTACTGAATTTTAATGAGAAAAATTCTGGATAAATAGACACAAAATAGGCAAGTAACAGTGGTTACTTTGGGAGGAATAGAATTAAAAGGATAAAAACAAAATATTTTTACTTTTTACTATAGATGATTTTTTATAAAAGTTTATATAATTGTGGGTGAAATACATACAATGATCAAAACCAAATCAAGATCACTGCTGTTGAGTTGATTTGACTCATAGCAACCCCTCCTTGGGTTTCTGAGGTGGTATCTCTACAGAAGTAGATTGCCCCGTCTTCCTTCTGAGGAGTGGCTGGTGGGTTTGAACCTCCAGCCTTCTGGTTAGCAGTCAAATGGCTTAGGTACTACACCACCATATAATGATCAGAAGTTGTTGTTGTTATGTGCCATTAAGTAGGATCCCACTCGTAGAGACCCCTCCTTGGGTTTTCGAGACAGTATCACTACGAAAGTAGATTGCCCAACCTTCCTTCTGAGGACTGACTGATGGGTTTGAACCGCCAGCCTTCTGGTTAGCAGTCAAATGCCTTAGGCACTATGCTACCAGAGCTCCATGATCAGAAGTATAAAAATAAAATAATATCAGGTATATTATATATTTGAAGAATTTTTTGCATTGGCACCAAACAGCCCTTTTATGAATGTCATTATTATTGTTACTTTTATGAAATGTAAACAAATATTATGAAGGTTTTCAAAAAAGCAACTAGAGATCTCCAATTAACTACAATATTGTTTAGCTCTTCTGCATCTTTGTTGAGTTTCTGTCATTGAGAGAATTGTTTTATCTGTCATTGAGAGTCATGCATTAAAGTCTCCTACTATGACTGTGGAGTCATCTGTTTACCTTTTCAATTCTGTTAAAGTCTGATTTATGTATTTTTGGGGTCTTTCATTGAGTCCATAGATACTTATTATGACTATATCTTCTTGTTCAACTGGTCCTTTAATCATTGTCCTTCCTTGTCTCTTATGGTGGTTTTTGTCTTAAAATCAATTTGATAGAAATTAATATTGCCACTTCTGCTCTTTTTTGGTTGTCATTTGCTTGATATAAGGAAGGTTGGGCAATCTACTTCTGTAGTGATACCACCTCAGAAAGTCAAGGAGGGGTCGCCTATGTGTCAGGTCTGACTGGACGACAGTGAGTTTTTGATCTTTTCCAACCCTTGATATTTAGTCTATTTTTGTATTAGTCTCTAAGGTATGTCTCTTGTAGACAGCATATTGATGGGCCATGTTTTCTTATCTAGTCTGCAACCCTATGTCTCTTGAATGGTGCATTTAATCCATTGGCATTCAGTGTAATTATTGAGAAGTATGTATTGGTTGTTGTCATTTGTTATGTGTTTTTTTCATGGTGATCCTGGTTTCTTTGTTCCATATAATTTTCTGTGCTGAGTTCACTATGTTTATGAATTGTGCTATCATTTCCTTTGTTGCTATTGTTTTAGTATTTGCTAAATATTTGTACTTGTCCTCTTTCTTATTGTGTTGTGAAGGTTTATCTTTTTTCTTTGAGTTTACTCTGTAGTTTATAATTTTCTTCTCAAGTTTAGAATAGTCCATTCTGTCTTGCAACTCTCTTGAATTCCTCACCATTTAGAAGTTCTGTAATTACACTCTTTTTTTCCCTCTTTTTTGTTTGTAGTTGTCTTCATTTACCAATTGATGTCTCTGGTTCCCTGTTTACAATCTTGTAAGCTTATTTTACTTTGGATACGTCCATAGGTATGTTGGTTTCTGGGTTATGTCATCTTGTGTATTAATGGTTGGTTGTGGTTTGCTATTATCAGTTCTCTGTTCAAAGGACTCCCTTTAGTATCTTTTGTGAGGTTGGTCTGATTTTAACATATTCTCTTAATTTCTGCTTACCTGGAAATCTCCTAATTTCACCATCATATTTGAGGGACAATTTTGCTGGGTATATAATTCTTGGTTGGAAATTTTTCTCTTTCGGGGTTTTATATATACCATCCCATTGCCTTCTTTCTTGATGGTTTCTGCTGAGAAATCAGTGCTTATTCTTATTGGTTGTCCTTTGTAGATAATTTTTCATTTTTCCTGTGCTGCTTTCAGGATTCTTTCTTTCTCTTTGGTTTTGATGAGTTTGATGATGATACGTCTTGGTGATTTTCTTTTGTGATCTGTTCTGTTTGGGGTTCGTTGGACTTCCTGAATAGATATATTCTCATCTTTCATCATATCAGAGAAGTTCTATTCCAACAAATTTTGGACAATTTGCTCAGTGGTTTTACTCTTTTCCTTGTGTTCTGGAATTCCAATTACACATAGATTATTCCTTTTGATGGTATCCCACATTAACCTTAGGCTTTCTTCATTTTGTTTTGATCTTTTTTTCTGATTGACCCCTTTCCAAAGAAGTATTCATTTATTTGTCTTCAATGTTATGAATTCTGTCTTCCTTGGATTCAGTTCTACTCCTTTGCCCTTTCAATGTGTTATCGATTTCTGAAAATTTA